TGGGCCTCAGACATTTGGGCACTTGGAGGATGCCCCACGGGGATTTGGGCACAGGACATCTGCCCCTGGGACCTTCAAGAACAGACCGGTGGCTTGGTCCACCGCTTGCAACCTCAAAGGTGTGCGACCATCCTCAGCCTGTTCCCTCCTCCATAGACAGGAGCAATGACGGAGCCTACCTCCTCCTGGTTTCCATAAAGCAAGCCTGGAGCCCCGAGCTCGGTACGCCGTGTGTGTGTCGTCAACAGGATTCCCAGTTGCGGCCATGCGCTGCGAAACAGCGACGTCTCGTCAACCACAGGCCAAACGTGAGACGAGGGTCCCCTAAGACGAAAGCGGAGCTGAAAATTCCCGCCTCCTACGGATGGCGTCACTGTCGTGACGCCGTGACGTCGTAGCACGATGCCTGACGTGTGCGTGGTGATGCCGGTGTAAGTAAACGGACTGCACGGGCAGTTGTCTGAAAGGACAGTGCATAAAGTTACGGACAGTACATGACATTTCATAATGAAAACAAACGATTAAGTTACTGGTTTACGTATTTACTATACTACAGTTTTTGTAAAGAGCATATGCTTTCTACTTATAAAAAAAAAGTTTGCAAAAAACGGGATGCCACCTCACACATCTCGCGTTTACCGAGTCTCTTGACGGCACCATTTTCTTTTGTGCTTGATTTAATCTTGGATTTAATGTGGTTTTGTACAGTGACATGCTGTACAGGTTTGTAGCCTAGGAGCAGTAGGCTAGCCCAGGGGTCGGCAAAAGGTGGCTCGCGAGCCACATGCGGCTCTTTGGGTACATTCCGTCTCAAAACTTTGCCGACCCCTGGAAGAGCCAATCCTGTCCCTCACAACAATTTAAAAATTATTCAAAAGCCATAAATATATTCTTACATAATCACCATTATGTAAATAATATCCTTTAAAAATTTTATAAATGAAACCGTGATAGTTTTATTTTCATTTTCAATTTTACTTCAGAGCCACACGCTCACGAGCCACAGTTTCCTGACCCCTGGGGGCTCTTCCGTCTCAAAAGTTTGCCAACCCCTATCTAGACCATACAGCCTAGGTGTGTAGTAAGTGTACTCTGCGATATTTGCACGACAAAATCCCTCATGTCACATTTCTCAGAATGTGTCCCCACTGTATTATACTTCAACAAGGCCATTCTATTTCCATGGCAAATATACTGTGAGCAAATAAATACACAGATATCCAGTGTCCATGTGAAAACTTGTAAGTAACTATATTATACCCCCCCCCCCAATCATTAAAGGGAATGCAGAATAATAATCTTAAAGTTTACAAGCCCAGCATGAATGCCATGGTAATCAACACTTACAGTCCATGTGGGAGCCTGGCACTGTTCCAGGTGCTTTTGATGTAACAATCAATTTTCCCAACAACCCTATGAGGAAGGGACTATGACAACCCCCCCCTTTACAGATGAGGAAACCGAGGCACGGTGAGGTTCAATAACTTCTCAAGGTCACACAGCAGGTTAGAGGCACAGCCAGTCAGCCAGCATGTGTTTATATAAAAACCTGATTACACTCTAAAGAGTCCATCAGTGACTGAGGATTTCTTTGGATTTCCTCTAATTTTCTCAGGTTACACTAATGTGCATTTTCGAATTTAAAAAATTAAATATTCAGTGTTTAAGGAATCATGCGAGAATCGGCCCTGAGGCAAGAATGAGTGCTGAGGTGGCACACACAGGTTAAGCATTCACTGGGAGCTGGGCCCACCCCAGGCCTAAGCAGCCCCATGGATGGTTCACCTGCAGGCTGCCCTTCCCCGGGCTTCACAGTGAGCATTTGCGTGCTCCGTACCCCTGCCTTCCCTCTGCCCTGTGCTTCAGCCCCTCCTGCAGCACCTAATGGTGCTTGGGTAAGATGGAGCAGGTGTGGACCACTCGACAGCTGGTTTGGGAGGGGGCAGTGGGTCCACAGCTGTAGCAGCCCTTCCTTGCCCAAGAGCGATGGTATTTGGCGGCATCCTCCCAGCTGATGCCCACACTGCTCCACTGTTTGCCCTTCTGTCGAGGAATCTTTTACATCAGATGGCAAGAAAGGTAAGATGACTTTTTTTTTTTTAATCTTATGCATCAAGCAAAAGTCAGAGCCACAGCCCCAAGATGTAGGCAGGTGTCAAGAGCCACTTGATCCCTCTTTAGAGTCCTCAGGGCCCCACTTGACATTCGGTGACCTTCCCATCCAAGGCATGAGCTGTAATTAAGAGCAGGGGGAACCCCTGCCCCAGCTGCTGGGCTGAGGGCCAGGGCAGGCTGACAAGTGCTCAGAGTGACCAGCTGGAACCTGGCAAGGTGTCCCTGAAGGGAAGGGACTTCCCCATCGCTGAGGGGATTCGCCCTCCGAATAGGGTTGCCGGATTTGGCAAATAAAAATACAAGACACTCGGTTACATTTTCATTTCAGATCAACAACAGTACGTCAGTAAAAAAAAAAAAAATCATTGGTTGTTGATCTGAAATGAAAATGTAACTGAGCATGTTGGATCTTATCTGGCAAACTTTCCTCAGAAGCAGTGACTTTTAAAATAAACACCCACTCGTTCTCCGCCCTGGCCACTGAAATGGTCTGCACAGAAAGACTCCTGCACGGTGATAAAGACGAGAAGTGGTTTCCCCGCTGCCTCACCCTACAGGCAAACTGCCCCTTATCTGACCTGCTGCCGAGTAGGAGGGCAGGTCAGGAGAAGGGAGAAACTTATTTTGCAATCCATCCAGGCTGCAGGTTCCGGTTCCCGCTGGGCTCAGCACTTCCTGCCTGACTCCAGCAGCCTGTTGTAAAGTGGGGGTGGACCCTGGGCCAGGTCACCCTCTGGGTCCCCTCCAGCTGGGGGTCTGCAGCTCATTTTCTCAGCCATGGCAACACAAAGCTGTAGGGGCATTCTGATACTTCTAGCCCAGTGGGTCAGGGGGAGCTGGACACCCCAACACCTCACCCCAGGCCACCTGAAGGGGCTCAGGCTGCCCTCTTTGGAGCAGAAAGCTCAAAGACATGTGTCCCACTCCCTGGGCCGAGCAGCTCTGGGGCCTCAAGCCATGTGTCCCACTCCCTGGGCCGAGCAGCTCTGGGGCCTCAAGCCTTCTTTTGACGTTAAGCAACGTTAACCAGGAGCACCGGGCTCACCCATGCCCCCCGCCCCCACCCAAGACCAGGTGGTCTGGATCAAGTCAGGAATGTATATTTTCACTCATTGCTATGGCCATAGTTCTTGAGCTTAGTGGACGTTAAACTTGGTGGAATGAGTAGAACTAACTGACAAACACAGGTGGCCCAGACCCACCCTGGGGGTTCTGATTCAATGGATGTGGGGTGGGGGTCGAGGCCAAGAATCTCTCATTCAACAATCAGCCAGATGATCCCGGAGGCGGTTAAGTTAACATACCTTAAGGAGACAAAGTGGCAGCTAATTTACATCTTCACTCGAACATAGGTAGGTGGGTGCAGGGATCACCCCCTTGTACAACAAGGAACCAGGCTGAGGTCAATGACCAGCCCAAGGCCACATGGCCAGTAAGGAGCAGAGCTGGCATCAACCCAAGCCGGTGACCCCATAGCCCATACTTTTAAATTTACACTTCTGGTATGGCCATGCATCTGGGGTGAGGCAAAAGTCCGGGGTCTTGGGGAGAAACAGGGGTGAAAATATTCTAAAATTGATAGCGGTGATGGTTGTACAACTCTGGAAACTAAAAACTAAAAACCATGGATTTGTTCACTTAAATGGGTAAATTTTATGGTATATGAATGAGACCTCAATAAAGCTGTTTACAGAAAATATATTTGCAGTCATAGGCGGCCTTTCTAGTCTTAGCGCAATGGCTTAACTTACTGCTGGCAGCTGGGAGAGAGTTGAAGGCAGAGTAACCCAGCTCACCAGGAAAGATATTTCCATGGGGAGTGTCCTCGAAGCCTTAGCTTTCTCTCAGTGCTGAACGGAGTCCTCAGGGACAGTCCCCAAAGCCCCCCCCCCAGCCCACTCCCACCCCAATGACACAGAAATCACCAGAATGGAAGGCAAAACACAGAAGCCAAAATGATCAGTCCCACACTCGTTCCTTACAATCGCACTTCACACTTTTATTGTTAATTTTCTTCACATGGCAGATACAGAACTGTCCTCCAAGATCCAAGCCCTCTCTCTCCAAAGCCAGCACAGACCTGGAAACACCACTCTTTAGAAGACCACGCCCCCTTTTCATGACTGGAACATTCAGAGCAGTTTTCCTGACAGTCTCAGAGTGTTGAAAGCAGACCAGCACATTTGCACATGCAAAAAAAAGATGAGTGGCCTCCAGCCCTGCCTCAAAAAAAAAAACAAAAAACATTTCCAGAATTCGCCATTGGCTGAAGGTGACTTTTGAAGTTTGGGGTTCATTAAGTCTTCCTCACTGCTGAGAGGGGGAAACCCCTAAGAACTGATGACGCTGAGTACAGTTCACGCGTGTCAACATTTATAGGACAAAATTGTATCGTTAGGATAAAGAACAGCCACAGATTTTCATGCTGGTGAGGGTTAGTTTTAGGAGCGGGCAAAAGGATTCCTTCCAGTTAACGAAAATGTAAAACAAGCAAGGGTTTTTATAGCTGGATGAGAAATTGGAAAACTGTGACACGAGGATAACAATCAGCATTTTTCTGCCCATGTGAGGATCTCACAAGAATTTTCTCCTGGACCACTATCAGAGCCCACACTGCAACCAGTCGACTGATTAATTAAATAACACAAGTTATAAAACTTTAAAAATGGGGCATTTACAGTCAGGGACATAAATACGTGCTTTTAAAAGTGTCTACGTACATATTTACAGTGTTGCAAGATTAACCACAGTAGCCCTGAAAAAAGGAGTCACTTTGTTTGTGTGTGACCACTCATCTTCCTCCGTTCCCTCCTTCCACTTTAGGTTGGACATATCACTAGCGACAATGGAGCTGAGGAAACAGCACCAGAGTGGTCTCAGACATCCTTGTCTGGGATCTGCCCCTTTAAAGGCACAAAATCCGAGACACTCACTGAACTGGGTCCCAACTCCTAGCTCAGCTCACCCGTTTATCCGAGGCATGAACTGTCCCACCAGAGGGCAGAAACCACCTGAAATGTTCCCTGGCAGGTGATTGATGGCTTCTGGAAATGTCTTTTTCTTCCCCTTATGCTTTTGAATCCTCAGACTTATTTTTCATCTCCTAATTTCTGTTTGTTCGTTTCCCTTTTCAGCTAATTTGAGAAACTCAGACATTAAAAGTGTTGATGGTCCCACCAAGAGAGGCAAAGGAGCACATGGGACATCGTCCCCTGCCCCCAACCAAGGTCCCACCCCCTGCCTCTGCCCCGAGTGGAACCCGATCTATAAATGGGCAGAGGGCTTTCTCCGGGATGCACATGAACTGACTACAACTTCAAACCTGGAAGTGACTTGGGGGGCAGCGCAGATGCTCAGGCCGAGAAGGGTGGTTTCCAAGTGAGCAGGCCAAGGGCATCGGTCAGTGAGGCTCCCAAGAGTCTGAACGCTACTGATTCCTGGAGATGGTGGGGGGCGAGGGAGGTGGGCAGCGGGGTGACTGGAAGGGGAGCTCGGCGGCCTCCAGGAGGCCATCCTCGGACAGGGCTGGAGCTGACCCCTGGGCCTGACCAAGGTCCCCGCCATGATAAAGGACAACTCGAGAAGCAAAAAGCAGGATCAAGGAGCTCTTGAAAAATTGCATAGTAGGAGAGGCCCCCAAGCCCCCACAGGAAGGCTGAGCTGCAGAACACAGTCCTGGGGGCTGCACCCAAGTCATCTACGGTGTGGAATCAGCGGCCTCCGTGCCCCGCTGGGGTTAGGAACGCCCACGTGAAGAACGCGCGCGCATGCACGCATACGCGTGCACTCCCTCCCTTTGTCTCGCAGGCTCACAGAACTGGAACAGGTCGGTGCTCCCTGCAGGGCAGAAGGCCACTCCCTTTGGCTTCACTGATTCCGGGTCACTTCAGGTGCTGAGGAGACAATAAGTAAATAAATAACGTTGGCTGTACATTCAGTGTCTTCCTTGGGCTGTTCAAGCATTGTCCCAACTTCATTTTCCCAATTAAACTTTTTATTGAAGAGTACCACACCTACAGAGAAAAGCACAGCCTGATGAATTTTCACATTGAGTGCACTGGGTAAGGAGCACCCAGATCAGGAAGTAGAACAGGACCAAGTTCCCGCTAGCCCTCCCGTCTCCCTTTTAAGATAACTACTAATGCTCACCCACAGAGTAACCACTATCCTGACCTCTACCACCATAGATTGACTTTGCCTGTTTTGTTAATTTAAATAAATGGAACCGATCAGTACATTTCCTTTGTGTCTGGCTTCTTCTGCTGGATGTGTCTGTGGGATTCATCGTTCCCAGTACATGGTGTAGTTCTTTCTATCGCCTTGCTACAGAATTCTGTGGGAGGGTCATACCACTTCCACCCGCCTAGTCCACTGCCAACACCCCGTCCGGTAGGTTCCAGGCTGGGGCCATCATAAGTAGTGCTACTAGGACATCCTCAAACATGTCTAAAAGACTTGTATGGTGCACGCGTGTACGTACCTATGCCAAGTGGAAATGCTGAGGAGCAGAGTGTCACATATAACATGAAAATTCTTGTATGTGTTTTCTGGTGCATATGTGTACGCACATCTGCTGAGTGGTTCCCTAGCAGGGCAATTGCTGGGTCCTGGGGTGTGCATCTGCTCAGCTTCAGTCGATGCTGCCAAACAGTTTTCCAAAGTATTGGGTTGTTGGAAAAGTCATGACGCATTTTTGCAACGAAGAACATAGAAAAAAATATGTCATGACTTTTACAACAACCCAATAGTAACACCGGCTGTTCTGGGACTCAGAAGAGTTGAGTTCTGCTCCCAGGTCGGCTGCGTTCCCCATCTATGTGAGTTTCCCACTGTAAAATGAGGGTGTTGACCAATATATCCCTTCCCGTGCTGACATCCCTTGCCGTGCACGGCATTTTAAAAATCATTCTGGAACTGTGGTACCATGCGATGGACTGAATTGTGTCTCCCCACAATTGGGCCCCTGCAATGGTCCTCGGAGATGGGGCCTTTGGGAGGTGACTGGGTTTAGATGAGGTCTTGAGGGGGAAATGGGATTAGATAAGAAGATGAGACACCAAAACTTCCTCTCTCCACCATGTGAAGACACAATGGGAAGGCAGCATCTACAAGACCACATGAGCCCTGGGCTGGCCGAGTGGCGCGATGGTTGGGAACTGGCTTGGGACGCCAGAGGGCCCTGCCAGAGGGCCCTGGTTCGGAACCCACATATGAGGGCCAGTGACACTGCCCTCTACAGCTAAGATGCTGAACAACAGCTCAACCTGGAGCTGGGCTGCCCTGAGTTGCCGNCTCCTCAGAACACCCCCACGCTAGTCAAGAGAGCTCACACACAGAGAAATTGCTTGTGCCACATCAGACGGGGGCAGAGCCAGGCTTAGACCGGGACAACCCAATGCCCAGATCTCAACCACTCTGCTGCCATCAACACGGAGCCTCCCCCAGCAGGGAAAGGGGTGGTGAGCATGGGGGGTGTGGTGAGCACAGGAGCAGGTGGGGTACAGCGGTATCAGTGCGTTCTGGAACAGGGTAAAAATAACCAGGAAGAAGCCCCGAGGATATCCACAAACACCATTTTAGTAGGAGCACGACTGGGAATTCTGGTGACCCAGTTTCACCAGCCAAGAAGCACCTCTGCCACCTGTCTAGTCCCCTGAACCCTTACCTCAATGGCAAGGGAAGGGCTGCTCCCGACAGTGGTGACGAGCGGGTGCAGCCACAAAGCCATTTCCAGGTGCCCAGTGTCAGAGCAGGCCAGTGTGCCACGTGCCACCGGCCAGCAGCCAGACGATGCACAGAGCCTGCCAAACGGGTGAAATTCCAGGAGAGCCCCCTCCCAGAAGGAAGGCCACTTAGCTTTCTATGACAACCTTCAAGGGTGCTTTGGTCTTCAAAGTGAGCTCTGTGAGCTCAGGAAGAACAGCCTTCCTGCCCTGAAGGTTCTTACCCCCCTCAGAAGGGACATCGCCGCCCCCCCCCCATCATCTCCCATCAACTGGTCATCTGACCCTTCTCACTGGTCCAGCTGGTGGGGAAGACATACCCTCACAAAAGGGACCTTTTGCTTTTCAGAAGGTTGAATGCATCCAAATACAAGAAACATTTGTAACAAGCCTGTGTGCTCAATGAGCCTGATTAAAAACAAAAACCCATGCAAGTATGTAAAGCTGTGCAAGGTGGCTGCTTCCTCTCTCCCCACTGCTCCTGGGGAGCCCAGGCAGAAAGGCCTGGCAGCCCCAGGCTCAAACCCCAGCTCCACCCAACCTCTGACAGCCAGACAGAGACTGTTCCTAGCCACAGGTGGGCCATGTGATGGCAGCGACCTCCATGAGGTATTGAGATGGTGGAAAAGCTCAGTGCCATGACGGGACCATTCTAAAGACTCAATCACTGGCATAGTTTTAAATGAAAAGGCAAGCAAACCTTCACATTAGGCAAATCTTTTGCTTGCATCTTCCATGCCACAGGTCTTAGCTCTGCTCCAAGGCCACATCTGGCATCCTATCATGGGGGGGAACCATCTTAAGCACTTGGGGACAATTATCGCCTGTCGCGTCCCTTCCTTCCTGCACGATCACAGACCCTCGCACTCTCCATGTTAAAAAGACCCGCTTCCTCCTATGGGGCCCAGGGCTCCACCCCCTGTGGCTGCTCCTACGCGGATTGATGTCAATCACAGGACCTACAGAAGGACAGTGCTCAGAAGAGACCACAGAACAGACGTCACATCAGGAGGGAGGGAGCCGCAGGAGCTGTAACCAGCTCAGGTCCATCTTATCGGCAGGAAAGGTGAAACTAGAGTCTTCTCCCAACCACGGGCTCAGCTCGGTCAAGAGAGGGACATTCTCCCAATGCAAGGGGCACGTGCCTGAAAAGGTTCCCTGGAGAGGTGAGTACGTTCTGGGAAGAGAGAGGAAAGCTGGACTAGAACCAGCAATCCGGTCCTGGCCATCCAAGGCACGGCGCTTCAGTCACACCGGCACACCTGCTGCTCGGTCCCCTTCCTTGTTCACAACCCCCCTAACCAGGGACTCGGCTCCCTGCAGGCACCTGCATGGGGTCGCTGAGCCTGGAGGTTCCTACTAGACCTTCGGAAGCAGCAGTGAGTCCACAGAGAAGATGTGCAGAGCTGGGTCCAGACAAACGTCCCTGGGAC